ACGCCGCAGCGTGTGCTTGAGGCCTTGTTCCGGCACAACGTGCACGGTGTCCCTTCGAGCTGGATTTGACTCGATTTACAGGTCGATATTCGATTTGTCCAGGTCTTGTCTGTTCGAGGGATCGTATTTGACGAGAACGGTACATTCCACACCCCTCACTGCTGCCCCGACGCTTGCTATGACTGGAGGATGGCCCGACATTTCGGTGACCCGAAGTACATCATTGGCGCGTACCGTGCATGTCAATGTCAATCTTGCCGAAGTCACGATCCATCCTCAACAACGATCGTCATACACGATGACCAACAGGTGTATGTTCTACAGCAACGAACAACCGCAAACACTATTGGTCCAACATTTAATGATGATATTCGCTGCAACATGTGGGCGGCCAGGTGCAGCCAGAATCGACATGTCATGCCGAATACCATTTCCTCGAGCGTGCTCTTGTGTTACTCGCCAGACAGCGCTGCTGCTACACCGGGGGTATCAGACGTGGGAATCCCTCTTGCTGTCCGTGTGTTCCTCCATAATTCCAACGCGTGGGTCCGGCTCTGTTCCTCCAGATATGCCTACTGAAATATACTTTCTACACGTTTGAGAAGTCACCCAACGTCCACACGGGAAAAACTGCGTCACCTTTCGTGACAAGTACTGTCAACTGGCGGTGCTGGGACTGTCCGTGTAGAACATAAGAAGATATATTGCGGTGAACGGCCGAATACCTGAAAGTGTTGACACATCAAATGTATAAATTTGCTTAGGAGGTTGTTCACAAAACGTTGCGCAATGGAGCTAACAGATTTGTGATTGGGAACCATTACCGTGAGACTTTCGTTTCGCGACGTGTAGGGATGGATTCGAAGACCAAAACACAGAGGGCATGTGCGATAACCGAAGCGAGTTGTTTTTTCGTCGGCTACCGTAACGTTGCCTGGCGGGTGCATGGGAGGGAATGGCCGAAGCTCATGATCATGAAATGATGAGGAGGGTGCTCTGGAGGTACAGGTGGCCACTTTCACAAGATGGACGAAATACGTTCATGGTTACGCACTTGTGTTCGACTCTAGCTGCTTATGTGAGCCCAACCCTCTTGAGTATCAGCCCACCCGACGTTCCGGGTACCATTTGAACGAGGCGTGCGGCATGGCGTCACTCATCACTCACCTTCTGTATTATTGTGTTTCAACTGTCATATCCCTACAATACCGACGCATATTGAAGTGCGTGGCTTACCGTGCGATTGGCAGCGTGCGGCTGTTTGCCTTCACAGCGTTGCCCTTCGATGCAATGGGCTGATGTTGCCCGTGTCGTCTACTTCGAATGACGCCATGTTTCTCATGCTCGTTTGGATTGGGGGCCCGTGCGATGATAATGAACGCGTTTGCATGTTGCATAATTTGTTCACCTGTCATGTCATGGGCTAATCCGTATTTCGTCGCATGCTGTGGGCGTCGTCGTTCAGGACCGATTCCGTCTGCACTGGGAGGACTGACGGCTCTGCGGGAGTTGTACCTGAACACCAACAAACTGGAGGGTGAGTGATGCTACAGGCGGGAAATCCCCGCGTGCTCGAAGGAGTCTTTGTCGCGGGCGCACGCGATAATTGTGTTAAATGGTCGTTGAGAAAGAAAAGGGCCTCGATGGGTCAACACTAGCCCTCTCCGAGGAGACTGGTGTAGTTTCAAGCATAGTGAAGAGATGCCTTTTCTAGAATCCGAATCCGCATCAGAACTAACGGTTCACTCTTTCAAACACAAGTCTTATTTGCATGGTTCTCGCTTTCGATCAACACCTGTGTCACCTGCTCACCAGTAGGGTCTAGGTAACTCGGAGAAAGTCACCTGTTATTGATGAGAACGAGTGATTTGTTTTTCAGAGCTTGAACAGCGAGTATTTTAACCATCGATCATGTACATACCGGAAATTGAATCCGCGATTGTACCGCTCAAGTTCAATTCTGGATCTATTGTTTGATGTCCTGAGAAGGATTGATTTGCTGAGCGATGGGCTTTCCCCGGATTCGTACAATAGGGTTGCGAGGATACTATTTTGTTAGTTGTCAGACTCAGCCTCTGAGTTACAGTGATCGGGTACTTGCTGGTATCACCTCCACTGCAATTGTTGGTGCGGTTAATATAGTCGTCACACTTGACGAACAGTGATGCTTTTGCTGTTGAGTACCTCTCGCTGCTTCACAGGCAAAGAAACGAATTCGGTGTTCCAGGGATGAAACCTCCAATGGAACAACATACTAGAACATACTACAGTTTGACATGTAGTGCTCGGTGATTTGTGCCAACCACTCGCAAGAAGTATAGTACATGAGCCCAATCGAGACGTACGAAAGGGTAATATGCCAAACCAAGAGAACAGGAGTGAATGCCAACGCTCAGACCTTCGAAGATTGCGTTAAGGAACAAATACCCATACTCTTGTAGGAGCATCCCGAGACTGGAAAGAGAAAATGCATCCGTGCACATCTTCAAGGCCGGGGCGTGTTCGATTATGGGTTTTTCGACCGACCGACCAGGCCAATTTCTATAGACCTTGGAGGTTTGTAAAGAGCGCTGTCATTGGAACCACAGTAGTCTGTCGGGCTTTTTCTTCGGTGGGGACAAGGGTGTGAACGGCACGGGAATGCACATCCTTTATGTTTATTTGGGCGAAACGCGGCTCAAAGCAAGCACGAATGCAGGCTGCGACATGGCACGATATCGACGAAATGAGAGCTACCTGTGTTGAAATAGTGCCGTCGTTATTCAGAACACATGTCTTGAGGGCGGCGGCCATTGGTAGTTCAGGCCTTGGTAGTCCAGCAATTCAGAATATCGAACTGAAGCGAATGAGGACGGCAGGTTTTCTCTTTCCCAGCAAGCGGTGTTTGCGCGGTAGTGACAGTGTATCCTAGCAAGAAATATGAGGGTTCACAGTCATTCACGTGAGTTTCGTTGGAGAATTTATGTACAATCCTGGTGGTTCCTGGCCCGAATCGTGAACGCCGATTAAGTGCTCCATATGGCTGGTATGGTATGTGATTTGTGAACGACTCCCAATTACAATTGCAGCAGGTGGCGCCGATTGTTGTATTCGATTGCGTGTTGGCTTGGATTTGCCAGACATGCATCTATTCCGGCGCAGTCTACGTATTTGCTCCGTGATTGAGCGCTCCCCATCGTCGACTTGCCAGATGTTGTGTTGATCCGATGTACTCCATGTTTCTCATGTGCCCTCACCTTCACGTGAGATTGTGCGTGTATGTCGGTCAGAGCAGTGTCCTCTAGGTCATGAATCGCGGAACTGCACAACGTCTCGCGGGTATATGCCACGAGGAACAAAGTAGAAAGTATCAACGATAGGGTCAAGGCGAGGTTGGGCCAATGATCGCCCTTCTCCGAGGAGCCTGAGGCTTTTTTCACGTTTCCTAGTACATATGTTTTCCGCACCCCAGGCTGCAGCAGGATTACGAAGCGTTCGGACTTCCCATTTAATCTCCCGCTCCTCTCTCTTGTCATGGTGTTGGACTTGCCCCCCGAGTCACAGCGATGAAGGTGCTGCCAGTACCAGCGCTGTTGCTAAGATGAGTGGACGACTCAAGTCAATATTTCTTTCTTGGGCGCACCCCCCCCCCCTTCGTTTGTCCCGGCGTTCTCCTTTGAAGACAATAGGGGTTGCATGGCTTGATATTACTTCGAAGTGATTCTGCTGGACGAACCAGTACGCCCGTTAGGAAATGTGCTTTGAAAATGAAACGGCTGGCATTGCTTTCCTTGCTCCGATGTCACCATTTCCCGAGTTTGAGTGTCAATGACCAACATGGTTACAAACACTGCCCCAAATTTCAATGGTTGTCCACTCGGGTATCCACCCTTCGTGGACTTAAAGCCCGCCGCATGTGGCTCGTACCCTTCGCCATGAGTGCGTTGCCACTACTGCAATTTTTCTTCAAAATGGAGAATGCGTCGCCGCACCGAACTAGTAGTGCTTCTTCACCTCCTTCTCGAAAGACCATTGCCTCAGTTAACACGCATGTGAAACATCCACCCAGCCTTGCCGTTGGTGCCTACCTTAAACAAATCCTTGAACGGCCTGCGTACTTATACACGGGGCACCCCATTGGTTGCAGGGCATGCAATTTCAGGCATGGCTCGTCGTTGATGTTCGTGTGGTGCAGGTTTTGATTGTGTTTGGATGGCAGATCATTGCCTATTTGTTTTCAGATTCTGTACCCAAGAATGTTGCCCAGCTGGTTAGTTGCGTCTTTCGCAAACTGACACGGAAATTTTCTCGACCGTTTTGCACAACGAAATATGGTAGTACTAGCGAGTACAGTGATTACCGCAAACAAAGTGCCCGGCAGGCATCAACGCCCGGACCCGTCGTCCTCGATGAACTCGCTAAATTATCCTCATGCTCATACACTCAAAGCTCCTTTACCCCAAACTCAGTCTCTTCCCCATGACTGCAGCCCCTTCAAAAGCCCTCTTGATCTATGTTCGCTGCCGCACGTTGCTTCTTGAGTTCGCACGGGTGATGCACCGAAAAATGAGCGAGGAATGAGATTTCAAAACCGCTCGGGCCCCCAGCGCTTTCTCAAGACGCTTTGCTGTATTTTCTTTTTTTTCGGAAGAAATCGGCGACATGCCTAAATCTCTCGCTCGTCCATGCTGATGCACTGTGTTCCAGGACGCGCCGGGCTCTGACCGTCCCTTGGATGTGCAATCTCTCACATGCAACCGTCAAGGCATTATGTCATACCTTGCATGAAGCATCACTAACGCGCGCTCAGTCGTGACTTGTCCAACACACTGACCTCGAAAATGTGGGAACTACAGTACATGTACTGCGCATTGGACTTCCGGAAATTGTTCATAGCAACGAAAGTGCTCAGTCACTCAGTTTGACCCCGACATACAACAAGTTGAAAAACTGGAAGGCAGGGTAAATACTTGTTTCATTTGCGACTGACTATCGTGCTACATTAAAAGGTTTCAGATGGACAACGTAAGTCCGTCCGTGAATTGGTTTAGGAAAGTGCAGTCGAATGTCGAACGTCGGACTGGTAATTTCCTCATGAACAGGGCAATAGGAGTGCAAGCTTCATTTAGCTTCAAGAGTGGAGAACTTGTGCTACCATATGGGATGGAGGCTACTCCGAAAGGTGGCGTACACGGAATGCGGACTCTGGCCTCGTCAGATGCCCCCATTGAAACCCTTCCGCAAGACAGATTTGGGCACAAACGACCAAGAAAGCCCTTCGACTACCACTCTGGTTGCTATGGTGGAATGCGTTGCCGCGGATTGGAACTTACCTGACACGGAATGTGGTCATGGCGTGGTTTGACGTGTCTCATTATCAAGCTACAGTCACCGTTACGTCGTGGTTGACCTCATCACTCATGCATGAAATCTCCGCCTACCGCGGCGCCGGGCAGGTTTATGCCAGCTGAAGTGTCTCGTCATTGTGATTCGTTATCGACCGTTGGGCAAGCGCAAGAGGCCTATGCTAGCCTAGTTTGGACGTGCTTGGCGTCTCTGCCTTGGGAGTGACTAAGTGTTGTTTCTTGTACCTGGTGCGATTCGCTTGGTGTGACAGCCGGTGGTCATTGCTGTTGCACGGTCCCGTCGAAGTCCAGGAGGTACAGGAGGTACTTCAACAGCTATCACCCATTAATTGTCCGAATGACTTGGGAACTAACTCACCTCCGCGCTTTAGGGACTTTCCACTTCAATCGCTCAGTGTGGTACAGCATTCCATTCCAGACGCTTGGCATAGGTACTGTTGAATTGATAGATTTGGTGTAAGGGTTGGTTGGCAATGTTGACAACGTCATCGGTCGTGGCAACCGCTAGGTCAACACCTCCCGAAACATCAAGCTCACTACGTCAACGGCATGCACATCTCGCCGTCTCTGTTCTCTAGCGACCAAGGACCCATTCCAGTATCCGTCAACCACGCAAAGTTCTCTCAAGAGTCACTAGAATTCTACTATTTGGGCGGTTTGGATTTGATGAACACAAAAACCGAAAAATGTGCCAACCGTTGGAGTACTCAAGTGAATATGTTTCATTGGCGCACAACCTCCCCCACAACATTCCTTCCGGCGCTCTCCGTTCACCTGAAGAGGCGGTTGCAGGGCTTGCTTCGGCCTCGCAACCATGCTCTGCGTACGAATATACAAATTGGTAAATCATTACAAGGCGTCCCTCTGGAGTGGGGTAAAGAGAGCACCGCGGCAGGGGGTGATGCAAGAACGTGCAAAAAGCAAACGCATACATATGCATGTACGGAGTATAGATTAAAGATGTAACACACCAGTCTAATGTTCGTCTCTTCCACACTCCGCATGTATTTGCCGTTTTTCTGATGCTGCGTTTCCCACCGCCGCGGATTCCAGGCCGCCAAACGACTTGAAATTCATCAGAGCCGTACAATATTGTCGCCCAGGAAACGCACACACAC